TGTGTGTTTGTTTGTTTGTTTGTTTGTTTGTTTGTGTGATTGAAGTTCAATCACGCATAAACCACTGGACGGATTGGGCTGAAATTTGGCATGATGATAGCTTACATTCCCGATTAACATATAGGCATATTCTTATCTCAAAATTCCTTTCGGGCTCCGCCCCAGTGGCTCTGTAATTCCCCATGTTAACCTTATGAGTATCTATATAATATTAATTTGAAACTGTTTTTCTTTGTCATAGCTAAATTGAGAGAACGGCTGGGCGTAGAAACTCGGTAGAGGTGTCTAAAGAAAGGTCTTGGTCTGTAGATGAGCCATCAAAAGAGAAACGTGGTAAATTCCCTTGGGGCTCTGCCCCAGTGGCCTTTGAATTCCCATCCCATGTTATTCTTATGGAGGAAAAACTGGGTTTTTGTCCCAGCTAATTTCAGGGAACGGCTGGGCGTAAAAACTTGGTAGGGATCTCTAAAGAAAGGTCTTGGTCTATAGATGAGCCATCAAAAGAGGAACGAGGTAAATTCCCTTGGGGCTCTGCCCCAGAAGCCTTTAAAGTTGCCTCTTCAAATTTGTTTACCATATGCATAAGTCTACACTACTTTTTAATGAAACAGCTGTTAATATTTAAATTGTGATTTATTGAATTTTCAAAATGAAGTACAGTATTTGCAATGGGTTTTTCTGATTTTAAAATCAATTTTATTCTGCATCGTGTCATGTTTTGCAATATAATGTTCTATTGCCAAATCAGTGGAAAATCCTAATATCACAGTAACTCTTAAAATTATTTCTTATGGAGTTAACTTATATCTATTGTATAGCTTGGTTTCTGCCTTTTTTTACCACTTCTTGGAGATTGTACGTAGGTGGTATTATTTGGCGTATTGCATCTGTAGACGAAACTTGGGTTGGTGAAATTATTACAATGGAAAAACGCGAGAAATCCTGGACAATTTGATATAGGCTAAAAACAAAACTGAATTAACAATATGCTACATTTCTTGAGCAATCATTGAAATAATCGATTTGCAAACAATGGAAACATAGAAAAAGTCATAGAACACAACCAAGTAGAAGAAAAGAAATAATGTTTTTTTTTTTAAGATTTGTAGAAACACTAAAAAAACAAGATCAGCTTTTTGAGAAAAGATAAGATATTTACAAAAGATTTTGATTAGGCCTATATCTAACTGTTGTGTAGATCGTGAGTATTTTCATAATCTTCGTGAGTCGCCTGTAATGCTTCGCAATTGCTCGAATTCGAACAACAAGTACACTAGTTCATATTTAAAGGGAATTAAAGAATTTAGTCAGCTGTTTCGACTAAAAAAGTTGGTTCTATGATATGGAAAAGCATTAAAAAGTTATAAGATTTACCAACAGGGAGGGTGCAGCACTATATTTTTTTTGCATTTATGAAAACAGCTAATTTGAACTAAGCAGCAAAAAAAAACTGTGATTCGCAATGAGAACTGTCAAAGTAGGATTGTTTACAGTTATGTTTATGTTTTTAATTTCATAAATAATTTGTGATATTTTGCGAATTGTTGATAATTTATTTTTGTCTATTGTTTAGGTGAAGTGGTAGAACATTATGGCTATGGTAGATGTGTTTACTATAGAATACTGTAAATTTAAAAAAGCAAATTTATCAAACTGTGTCCGCCCTTATTGCAAACGCAAAGCTTGAGTATAACTGCAATAAACATTTTATACTTATATTCCAACCTCGTACGAAGGACGGGTACTCTGCTAGTTACGAAGGACGGGTACTCTGCTAGTTGCTCATATTAGAATATAGGATTAAAGACTTTAGTCAGCTGTTTCAACTAAAAAGTCGGTTCTATAATATACTGTATTAAAAAGTTATAAGATTTACCAAACAGGGTGCAGCACTATAATTTTTCTTGCACTTATGTAAACAGCTAATTTGAACTAAACAGCGACAAAAAACTGTGATACGCAATGAGAACTGTCTAAATAGGATTGTTTACAGTTATGTTTATGTTTTTAATGTCATGAATAATTTGTGATCTTTTGCGAATTTATAATAATTTACTAGCTTTATCCCGCGGGCTTTGCCCCGTTTAACTTCTTAATTTTCAAGATGATCTCGTTCGCATGGCTCAATCACGTCCTGGTTGAAGTTCGTTCGCATGGCTCAATCACGTCCTGGTTGAAGTTCGTTCGCTACGCTCACTCACCTTTAGGTTGGAGCTCGTTCGCTACGCTCACTCACCTTTAGGTTGGAGCTCGTTCGCTGCGCTCACTTGCCTTCAGGTTATCTCGTTCGCTACGCTCACTTGCCTTCAGGTTAGCTCGTTCGCTACGCTCACTCACCTTTTTGGTTGCAAATTAGCTGTTGTCATAAATGTAAAAGAAATAATAGTGCTGCACCCTGTTGGTAATCCTTGTAACTTTAATGCTATTGAACATCATAGAACAGAACCAACTTGTTTAATTGAAACAGCTGTTAAGATTCATTAATTCCATTTCTCATAAGGTTAACATGGGAAACTCCAGAGCCACTGGGGCGGAGCCTATTGGACGGATCACGAAATTGATGGTGTATAAACCTATTCCATGACATTCTACACGTATGTACCAAGTTTCGTGGCAATCGGTTCAGCGGTGTCCGAGTTTATCACCCCCAAACAAACAAACAAACAAATATATATACAAACATCCTCTTTTATATATATAGATTTTTCTTTATTGTTTAAGTGAAGTGGTATAACATTATGGCTATGGTAGATGTGTAATACCATACATACTGTCAATTTAAAGAAGCAAATTTGATCAAACTTTGTCCTCCCCCATCGCAATTGCAAAGCTTGAGTATAACTGCAATAAGCATTTTTAACTTATATGCCGACCATGTACGTAGGACGGGTACTCTGCTAGTAACACTATATAAGCAATAAATAAATCCGAAATTGCAAGCAATCGTATGGAAGGTGAGGAAAGAAAGTCAATTCAAGTAGAAAACAAGAATTAGAAAAGAAATAAAGATGATTTGACTTAAGAAGAAGTGAAATACTTAACAGATTAATCTCAAAAGCAGTATAATCATTGAGATGTAAAATACCGGTACAGAGGAAATTTTCTTATGGGACGGCCATGCACTTTCAGCTCAAGTATGTAGTGCCGGTAATACAGGGTTAGGGAAAAGTCTGGACATCCCCAGTTTACTTTTTAACGCGTTGCAGTAGGAAATGACTTTATAGGCCTTGTTGAGGATGTATTCTTTGCGTTCTTTGTTTATGTTCATTTTATATATTTCATACTCCTCATGTGTGTCCAATTCATTACCTTTCCCGCAATAATGTAAAACTTCCAAGTCGGTCTTAATATCACTCATTGAGTGATTACAATCTACAAGGTGTTGAGCAAACATAGATTTTTTTATGGTGTTTAGGATCTGGTTGGTGTTCTTTACATCGGGTTTGGAAAGCACAACCTGTTTGCCCTATGTAGGCCTACTTACTTGTGCAATCTGTACAAGATATCCTATACACGCCGGCCGGTTTTATCAATTTTGTCACCTACCGGTATCTCAATTTTATTTGTCAAAACATTTCTAGTAGGCTACGGTTTGTAGTTCTGAAGGCTAGTTCAATGCCTTATTTTGCAAGTTCTTTCTTTAATGCGTGTTGGATAGTGTGACTATATTCTAGGCAAACATATTTTTTTTTCTCTGAGCTGTCAATCTTCACACCTTGTTTGTTTTTATGTTTTGTGATGAGCCTATCTACAAAACCACTTTTATAACGATTGACTGTTGCTATGTTTTATGATTTTATATTCATGATTATAATATAAAATCTATGATCATGAATACAAAGGGAAGTTTTACATTATTGCGCAGGGCATAAAATAACATGTTAAGGCAAGGGCCGTCCGAAGGGGGGAGCGCCGTGGCTGAGGGGGCGCCGCGCAGCGGCTATTTGTCTTATCTTATCTTATCTAACAGGGGCAGGACGAGACCTTAAAAGCACTTCGTCCGAAATCGAATTATTGCGCACCCCAGACAATTGCTTTCTTGTTCACCTACAAGTTAAGGCGCCCAATGAATGCCTCTAGCTTCCCAATTAGTTCATCCTCAGGAAGATATCTAGGGTACAGTTTCTTAACTGGGCTATGCTAATATCGATTGAAACTATCAATTCGATTAGTAAACCTTCATGCGATTTTTTCACCATCAGCAAGTTTGGTTGGTTAGGTTAGGTTATGATAGTTTAATTTTATAATAGATATATTTAAAAATATTGATTATTAATCAATATTTTCAATTCGATAGTTTTAATCGATATTAGCAAAGCCCAGTTAAGAAACTGTACCCGATATCTACCTCTAGCCATATTTCCAAGAGTTATCAATCTAGCGTCAGAGAGCTCGTTACAATCAAAGAGTACGTGATCAGCTGTCTCTTCTGACCCATCACAGTAGGCCTACCTACAGATCGGTTCACCATCATATAAGCCCATCCGTTGTAGATGTTTCCTGAATCTCCCATGACCAGTTATCAGTTCAACAGTTAATTTAATTCTTCGTCTGTCTAGTCTCAAGAGGTCAGAGGCGACCTTTTTAGAAGGCCTAAACAGAGTAAGCTTGCTTAGGACCCTAAGAAGGGGAACATCGACCCAGCTATTTGTATTAACATAGTATTAAAATATGCGAATGAGACTATTACTGCTGGGGGGGAGGGGGCACCCCGACCACGTTTGCTCCGGGCGCCGCCAACCCTAGGGACATACTTAACCCTGGTTAAGGCGATACAAGTGTCACCCAGGGATGAGATTTTGTCTCCCAGTGGCTATGGGTGGTGCTGGCATATTTTTTAATGATTCACATTTTAAATGTATCAGAAATGTATGTATTTTGTATTTTAAACTACTGTTATCACTATACCTAAAGGCTGGTTACTTCAGGCTATTTTACTTCTTAAGACCTAAAGTCCAGAAAGTAGGCCTATAATGAAAAATACTATTTCTTTATCTTACCCTCTGTTAGGGCCTTTGGGAACCAAGAACGGCAGTACGATTCCCACACCACCCCAGAAAAGTGACATGATTATAACAGGAAATGCTGAAGCTCCCATTTCAGATACAAGTGTCAAAAAATAAACTTGTTGGATTAAAATTTGTAGTTCTTGACTAAATAAAGATATTATGCAAAAACACAATAATTGTTGTCGTTTTCAACTTCTCGTACTCGATGTTAATAATATAACATTAGATAAATGATAACTCTGGAAGTCACTTCACTAGTCTTGTCACTGTCAGGACAGGAGACAATAGACATGAATGTCGTCTCGTCAGGCAGAAGCTAAGGAAAAAACTAGTCAGCTGACATCAGAATCACATGACCGGGACCGCGCTGCCAACATTTTAAATCAAAAACAGTAGTTTGTTGCCTAATTGTACCCCTCTGAACTGTATAATAAATTTTTTATCATTATCATTAAATACGTTTATTTTATTTCTTATGTAGTTAAACTTACGTAATTTGTGGGTTTGTAGTTTCACTACCGGTAAACTTATGTATATTATTAAATACTATCACGAGTTTGTTGTTGAACATTATCGTAGAAATGTTTTAATATATTACCATTTAAGATGGGGATGCCAACTAGGTGCGTATTTTAACTCAAATATGAGTGAAGGATGAATGTAGAATGAAGTATGATCGTGATGATCCTTGAAGCTGGATGAATGTAGAATGAAGTATGATCGTGATGATCCTTGAAGCTTTGTCAATAACTAAGATAAGCTATTTAATTAGCCGTAGCAAGGCCACACTTAATTTGAACTCAGTTTATTTTATCCCCAGTAGTTAAACCAAGTCGAGAGGTGGTTTAGTTTGAACTTAGATTAATACCTAGTTTAAATTTGGGGAAACACAAATCAAAGTTAAACTAAGTTTAAATCGCCGTTTAACTTAAAACTAAGTTTAAATGAGTTGGGGAAACCGGGCCTAAAAATGTTTTTTGTGTTTGGCTTTGGCTTAGATAAAACATACTCCCAAACATACTCCATTAGTAGATTTTCCATCCTTATGGAACAGCTGAAGCCAATTTTATTGTTAGTTCTGTCCGGATTAAGCAAATTTCCCATATAGGGAATAAGCTATCACCGTATGTCTCATGGTAGGACCCGGGGCCGATTTAATTTTTCATTTTGAGGTCCCCAGAGGCCAAAAACACCATCCGTTCAAATTCATATATATATATATATATATATATATATATTTATTTATATATATATATACTATATATATGTGTCCGTTAGCACGATAACTAGAACACAATTGATCCGATTTTGATGAAATTTAGTATAAACGTGTAAACCTACGTTTATTCTAACGAGTTCGCGAACCAGCATGATCGGACCATGGGAACCATGGGGTTTATGGGGGGTTTTATGGGGTATAAATGAGTTTTTCCCATTTTTTACCCTAAAATATAAAATTTTGGAATTTCTTCCCCAACTATTTTGTAGAGCTTAGAAAAGAAATAATTTAGTATATTGAAGCATTGTTGTATGTCTAGTGGTTACGGAGAATATTAAAATACCCCCGCCGCAGCAAACCTGCAGACTAAGCGAATTTCCATTAACCTAATTGGATTAACACTAAAATGCCTCCATAAAAATAGCACATTTATCACCTATTTAAATAGAATTAGTTTAACGAGTACTTAGGTTTGCTGCAACAGGGAGGGTAAAAACGATTTTTTTTATAAAATGATAATAGTTTAGTAAGAAATAAAAGTATTTTCCAAAATCGATCAAAATATGTTCATAAACAAGCAAACTACAAAAGTTGACTTATTCTCCATAAGAATAACATGGGAATTTTAAAATTACAATTTTTTTGAATTTTCTCCGTAACAATTAGGCGCATAATAACGCTTCAATATACTAAATTATTTGTTTTTTTAAGCTCTACAAAATGGTTTTAAAAGAAATTGTGAAATTATATGTTTTTAGGGTCAAAAATGGGAAAAAACCTATTTTTACCCCATAAAACCCCCCATAAACCCCCGTTCCCATAGTCCGATCATGCTGGTTCGCGAACTCATTCAAGTTTATCCCGCCTTACACCTTCAAACCAAATTTTATCAAAATCGGACAAAAATTACTCAAGTTATCGTGCGTATGGACACACACATATATATATATAGATATATAAAAATTTGAACGAATGGTATTTTTGGCCTCTGGGGACATCAAAATGAAAAAGTAAATCGGTCCCGGGCTTAGGTCTTACCATGAGACCTACGGTAATAGCTGAGTGAAAATTTAAAAACGTACGTTTTCAGGAAAAGCACTTTGCAAATTTTTTCCCCCTTTTTTCAAAACTTTTATTATTTTTTTTATTTCATTAACATTTGAAGTTTCATAAAATGTCCATGGTAACGCAATATGTTTGGTAGTTTCTTTTTAAAAGAGCATCTTTAGTGGAAAAACACAAAATCCTGTCACGACCATAACGGACGTTTAAATGAATATTAAAAATAGTTAATATTATTTTTATAACTATGTTTTGCTATAAACTAATTTACTTTTATGACCATTAAACAATAAAAAGGTCACTGAGCTTTTGGTATATTTGGTCTTTCTAGAAAAAAATAAAAACTCAAAAAATTGAAAAAAAAGCCAATAAAATCTTTTTAAGTTTGTATAACTCCGAAAAAACCTACCCGAGACCCAAAAAATCGTCATGTTTGTATAGAGGTGTGCTTCTTTTGTGTATAAAACATTGAAATATGACGATATTTTAATTTTTGAAATTTTTATGATAGAAATCATAAACGTGATGGTCAGGGACAAGCGGTACGGTCGTGAATTGTCTGGAATAATCTAAATCTTTCTAAACAATCCTTCAATTAACCTGTTAGTTATAATAAAACTATGTGTTTCAATTGCACTAAACTGTTTAATTTACAATTATATTAAGGTTATTGTCACGACCAAACACTCTATAATCCATAAGGCTGGATTGGTCGTGAAAAAACCCGCGATGGTCGTGAAACTTTGGTCGTGAAATTACGAGTTATTTGGCTCTGTTCTGGTGGTAGCCCTGCACCTCATGTTCGAGGATACAAAGTGGACTTCTAGGTTAATCTAGCAATTGAAATATCTTATAAACAAAAATTAACACCATGTCTACTTCATCGAATGACTACGTACGGTCATGGACACGCCAAAATTACAAAAAAAAAACAATCTTTCCTTTATTAATCTTGTAATTCCTCCTTTCAACTCGAAACGACCGCCACTACAATCCTGACGTACACCCCGAACTAGTCTCTAAAACCAACTGACTCCATCGACGCCAGGCTTGCCACTGTCGTGCTCCAAAGTTGAAAATTTTTCCCAAATGGTCGTGACGCCAAATCGAGGGACAGACTTATTTTGTCATGGTAGTCAGTTTGTAATGACAATAAAATTATAATATGCTCCTTTTTTGTAAGTTTAATAACCATTGATGACATAAAAATATGGCTTTATATATTTTGGCATGAATAATTAGTCTAAAAACAGCGTGAAAGTTGGAAAATGTACCCTAGGGACACGAATTTTAGGATAATTTTAGGATTCGAAACGTGATTTGAGCCACTAACATTAATGTAGACAATAAGTGGCGAGGTAGGAAATATATATATATTTTTAGACAGCCTACTGGGTAGCGTGTTGGGGCCGCGGTAGGCCAATGCACCTAACCCAGGGATAATGTGATACGTGATCAAGCAGGTGCTCCTTCGGACCCGGTAGGGGTCCAAGACCCTCTGATAGACGTGGGGATGTACAACCGTGAAGTGGGAATATTTTATTTGGTTTTTAAATTATAAGTTTAGTGAACAAAGCGGGGCTAAGACGTTGTGTAGTGTAAACAGGAATTAAGTGACATGTCAATTTGTTTTGTCCATGTAGGGCGTGTTCATTATATACGTTCATTATATAAAAAAAATGAATAAATTAATTTTTCTATAGATAAATTGCATTATCCATAGAATAAACGTTAGTTTTGCAAAAGGTTGAGTTTCTAATGGGCCGAGGGAAATGTCACGATTTTGCTTGCAATGTTTTTTCGAGATGGGGGAAGTATTTTCTTTTGCCCCTGCTTTTGACAGGGCTTTACCTTAATCCGTGCAACAATTGTGATTGAGACGTGGCTAATCCCTCGCCAGAGGAAGCTGGCGTGAAAAATTGGAGGAACCCTTGATTGGTTAAAAATAAACGGTCAAGCTGATGTTATTAAAAGGAATTAATTCTTATTATTTTGATAAACTGGTTAATAGTTTGTGATAATTATATGTAAATTTATTCATATAGATGTGCACTGGATAATTGTTTTTGTTTGTTATACAGAACAGTTTTATATAGGAGTGTAAGTCAGGCCTTGCTGTTCTTGTTGACTGGGACACATGGAAACTCCTTGCTGCGGATTGCTGGTGGAGCAGTAGCTCGACACTGTCCCTGCCGATGGATCTGGTTTGATTAGTGTATAAGTCAGTAAAATAACCCAAATTAGTACCTGTAATTGGCCCTGAACTGAGTTGGGGTTGTCAAATTATGCTCGCTTTAGCCTAGTTGCAAAAGTATATATAAAAAAAAAATGTAACTTGCGGGGGAAAATTATTTCGAAAATGTGAAAAATGATGAAGCAGTTAGGAAAATTTTATTTTGAAAGGAAGTATATCAAGTATATTTCTGGTGTAGTTTTGGCTGACCGTGGGTTAGTGGATTGGCGCATAGCCTGAAAAAATTTGTGCATTGGAGGATGCCCCATTCGGATATGGGCATCGTTTAATGGTGAGTGGTCAGCGAGGTAGAGGTGTGGTCTGAGCCTTAGGCCCTGTACACATGAGGGCGGCAGCCGCCGCGGTTGCCATTGCGCGGGAACCGCGGCGGTTGAAAGTACAAAGGAGCAAATGGGACCGTTCACATGCAACCGCCCACTTCCAATCAACCGCAACAAACCGCGGCGGTCGTAGATTTCCCTTCGACCGCCGCGGCTCCCGTGCGGTTGAAGTTACTAGAGTTGGCATGAGAGCATACACATGAGGGCGGTAGCCGCCGCGGTTGACTGCAGTTGCTACTATAGGATCACAGACATCTGCGCGCTTGCCCTGTGGACATCGTTCTCTGTGTTGGTGAAGATAGTGTGTAGTTGTGGCTGGAGTTGATGTAGTGCTCGTTGTGTAAGTTTACAATGGCCATGCGTGGTGCTGTGGAACCAGAAAACTTTGACACTGAACTGTTCAGTAAAGAAATACAAAATTAAGTTACGTTTAGGACATAAACTAAAAAA